CTTTCGCGAACAATGTACAACACCTGGGCACGAAACTTCTATAGAAACTAATAATTTTACCTGTCGAGAAACGTCAGATGAATTTGCCGTTACTGCATTATACCAATGGTACATCTTTGCCGTTACTGAAGGACCACATAAATCCTACGCCTTTCGGATCGGATGTCATTGAAATAGGGGTTGTTTTTGTTGGTTCTAAAGATAATATTATGATCCATAACAGTTTGTAGATTACTTGCCGATTTTTATATACCTTTCCCTCTTATCTCTCTCTCTGAAATTGTCAAATTTTGCACGTGACTAGTTCACAGAAGCACACTAATTTGTATCACGGCCATTATCTGTGACTTTTGCCCTGTCAGGTAAAAAGGTTGCCCGCAGTAAACTCATTAGTGCCGTGAAGGGTGCCAACAAGCAAAGTTTTGTGATACAAGGGCTTTCTATTCACGGCACAAAAGTTAGGAGAAATAATTGTGATATAAGCACGTCAGCCCACTCAGTTAAGTAAATAAATGATATGAATGAACGTTATGAAATTACAATACCTTTGCTGGAACGTTGGATTTTTTTTATTTCAAATTAAAATGGAAAATGAGTAAGAGATGCAAAAATCTTGTTTTCTAATTGCTAGTATTCATAAAAAAGTATACTTAATATTTTGTTTTCAATGTTTTTGACCGTATCCTGTGAATAAATAGGGTTTAATGGTGGAAGTCCGAAACATTCTTGACAATCCGTTATTTTTGGTCACTGCAGAAAGTGAGGGAGGGGATGATTCAGTAGCCGACCCTGCACCTGAAAACGTGGGGCCATATACCCCCATCACCCGGATTATTGCTCATGCCATTATTTGTCAAGCTTGGTGTGCATGTACAAACTCGCCTAATCAGTACAAACTTGGAGTTTCAACTCAATTTGACTTTGAGTTTTCTTGTCACATTATTTGAAGTCGAAGGCCACACGCGTGCCTGTCCGCGTGCATTGAGCATTGACCTGTCTCGGAAAAAAATTGGCGCTGCTCAAGAACAGTATCTTCAATTATCACAAAATTGGTGTCAAAATGACCACAGACTGCAATGAGTTACTTAAAGTCTTAACGGGCCAGACCCTGAAATGAAAAAAAAAGGCACTGCGGTCATATCAGAAAAATGTTGCGGGGGCGGATTCCGTCCCCGACTCCTTTAAAACTGCCACACAAAGCCAACATTTTCATGTCTCTGTTTTTCTCCCCCGTTTCTACCCCTTTCATTTCTTTGCTTTCCTTTTTAACCTATAGGCTTACAATGATAATTATGCACACATTGAATCAAAAGAAATCAATTTATGTATCATCCAAAAATTTAGTTTACTGAAAAAGTTACCTTAAACTAGGAAATACAGTACTCAGAAAAACAGTGGTTAAGGACAGTTTGTGAGATTTGAATACTGCATTGAAAAGGGAATTCCACAATATTTGCAACGTCTAACAATACTACTCATGACATTAGATTGTGGGCCCTTAAAATTTGTGAAAACTCTCGCAATTTTGGACCGTGGATCAAAAAGAATGGTTTCTAGCCTTTTAAATGAAACTTGGCAAATTCATTGTCACTGTTTCGTGAAATATAAACAGGTGTCCTGGTGACAGTCCCACAGTGCTATACGGTACCTGTCCAAGTTTATCTGCCACTATTTTCACGGGTCTTCGTATAACTTGAAGCACAATGACAAATAAATTATGTACTCCTATGAAGTCTAACGATCTAGAAAAGTGAACTTACCGAAACGATTAGGAAGAACGCTGTTTCTCCTCTGAATTCCACAGCGCTCCATTCATCTGTTCCCTTACAACCTCACTACCTTCAAACTTCCAGTTTTGAGAAGCATGTTTGACTGGCATATCGATTTTATTTCCTTTGTGTTTTGCCTGTGGTGCCGCGGCTATATTTACGTTGGGTTTAACTTTTATTGGCATTTTACCCTTGCCGATTATTACGACAGGGCCTTCGTGTCCGAAGCCTACCTACTGGGCACAGTTCGAATTACCGTGTAACAAGCCGGGTCGTACACAGAGCCTCGGATCCTTTGTGATACTCGATCGCTGTATCCACAACCTGGCAACCTAAAACAAATACTGGTCGGTCAATAGTTACAACTTAAAGACAATTCCCAGCCACCATCTCTTTGAAATCAACTTGACATCTCATATCAATGTGGCCATCAACGGGGAAATGTCTTACTATATGCAGTCACCTTCTAATGTTGCAAAGATACAGGGAAACGCTTGAAATGTTTAGTTGTTGGTATTGCCATTGGATTCACACCCCTGGCCCGCACCTAAAGCTTCTAATTTCCATCCTCCCCATGGTTTGTTTTTACTGTCCAAGCATTTTGTTTTAACCCTGGAAGACTTCTATAGTACGTGTTTTACGCATGTTTTATATCAATTTTCCGAGAAACATAGTTTACTAGAATATCTTTGCAAACATGCCAGACGTTATATGGGATATTAAATGTTATAAATTGTGTCGTGTACATTACTGAAATTGGAAGCCCGGTGGGCTCTGACAAAGCAAAATCCCACATTTGATTTTGTTTGTTTGTATTTATTTTGTTTTCAGTTTTAAAATTTCCAACTGGGTTGTCACTTTAAGGTTTCCAATGATGAGTTTCTTTAATACAGTATTTAATCTCTTTCGTCTTGATTCCCTGTAATGCCCGTTTCTAATTGATTACGTGAGATAAAAAAGTACCCGTGTCAACAAGATATAAAGGTGTGGAGTGAATTGCTCTGTCACTATCAGGAGCATTGCAAAAGCAGTTTAGTGAGCTAGGTACACAAGCATCACAGTCGCATTGCTCTTAATCAGCACACGGGTC